TTCGATGCAATGACATTCCCATGTGATATTCATTAATTATTTTCCAAAAGCACGAAGATCGGCATAATATGTGGCAATCCATTTTCTTATAATCTCAACCTCGGTTTTCCGCTGCTTAACCAACCAGATAGGATCTTTTTCAGTAGCTTGACTTATGTCCAAACAATGAGAACCTGCATGTAAGAAATTATTTTTACGGCATTATATGTGACAATCCATTTTCTTATAATCTCAACCTTGGTTTTCAACTTCTATAATTCTGAAAATGGAAAGATAATTTCTTCCGTTTGACTTTGGTTCGACACGGATCGAGTCGACACATACCTTTAGCCGTGTAGACTGCAACGACAGAATTTGAAATATTCTTCAAAACCCTACAATGGAAGATATATAAGAATTACTTTGAAATTTTATCCAATTCAATGATGTTTTCATAGAAATATATAAGTTTTGGTGCTACACTTACCCGCCCCTGCTATAAGGATCTTGAAGCCCGTTGGAGAAAATAATGTTGCTAGCGAACCTGTGCAAAACAAGTTTTATGTCCTGCACTTTTCCATAGTCAATGAAGAAACGAAAGCATGTCATATGTTGTTTGGTACACATATATAGAGAAAATTAATGGAGTGTAGTGTATATATGATTTTATTTTTGTGACCGTACATGACCACCGTAATAAGTAGTGGCCCAGTGTGGCCGAGGTGCAACGCCGAACTTTCTCTTGCAGTCACTAACGAACTCATTTAGGCCTAAGTGTTCTGGTGGAAACATAGTATTGTTGGTGATGCTGTCCGCAGGAAACACCATCTCGCTGCATATCTGCAAAGCCAAACAACCTCCATTTTCTTAGTACAATACAAAACTCGAAGATTCACTAATTATGGGGAAAAAGTTGGAAATTGGGTTCATGACTAGATCTACTAAGGACATTACTATTAGGTATAGCCAATTAGGACTTATGAATCAAACTATTCACGAGCTACTCCTGCTCGACCGTTAGACCACACAGATTTTGCTCAGAAATATGAGACACCTATGATGCTGAATCTTGGTGTTGTTCGTTCGTCACTCGAGTATGAAATTAGCTTTGTTTTTTCATAATCAATTTGAGTCAATTTCAACAGAGTGGTAAACTAAAATCTGTTCATGACATTGGACAATAGTGTGCACCTGCCAATCCCAACCCAAATCACTTTGAGATGGCCGAGAAGGTGGATTGACATAGCATGTCCTATTTGGGGCCAAAGCGACGAGGCCTGCGAAAATCTTCCCGAGAATGTCATTTTTTGGAGAAGCTCCATCAATGGCATTGCATACCACTTTCACTGGACGTGTGGAGGGATCATTGTACTGAGCAGCACCCACGTAGAGCGATATCAAGTAGTCCTTGAGCTGTGAAGAGCTTTTTAATGGTCTAACAAAAGATAAAGATATGCAATTAGATGTATATTCGTCTATAAAGCATATCCTTTAATATTTTTTAAACTAATATCAGAGCTTGAAATCCCTATATCATGTTAGACACATTCACTTGGTTTAGCGAAAATTCATGCTATTGTGGGATAAATTGTCAGTGTAAATAAACCTTTTCACACGCGGTCTAATCCACCCTAAATCTGATGGTAAGTGAGGGAGTTGAAAGCTGAAACATGCAAATCAAGAATGGATAAACTGCTATTGTAAAGGTTTTTTTTACCCTTAGTGTATGCTATAAGTTTCCAATTAGATATATCTAACAACTTTTTATTTGCTAAGAACTACTTACACTACAGAACATACTGAAAAGTTCCCAAAATACAATATGATGCATGAACTCAATTCCATCATCCCGCACCTGCAAGTTTTGAAAGTTCTGCTCAATTTCGTGAGACCATGAAGCTCAGAAGCAACTCTATCAATTTCCTCCCAGGATAGTCTTATGGTTCAGTGGCAAGAAGAACTGGTTTTCTGAAAAATTACCCAAACAATCATTCAAGTGACCGGTTTGATTACAGAAAATGCATGCTAAAGGAAAAAGGTATAAATCGAGCAAATAAGATTACCAAAAAATCTTTTGCGACTACTAAAAAGTATGGGTCCCGACGTATGATGTCGTGAAAGTAGAGAATTGGAGCGGATGATGCCAAAGCTCCGAGCGCCACATGAGGATACTTCAATCGGAACCATGTAGCTAGCACTGAAAATAAAATATACGTATCAATGGGAATCGCACATTAGAATTGTTCTCTTCGATGCAAGTAGTGGGCTATTTTCTTTAATTTCAATTTACAGCTGTAGTCATATTGCTGATATCTGAAAAAATATTCACTTACTTCCCCCATATGATCCTCCAATGACAATTATTGGAGAATGTTTGGCATTCAATTTCTGTTTCAGGTATACAAGGATTTCTGCATAATCGGCAAGAGCTTGCGCCGAGCTGAAATATCCGCGGGTGCTAGCGTCACTTAATGCTTTGTCGAGTGTCAACCCGTACGGGATTGATTCACCATAAAATCGATGCTGCAAGATTTCAACTTTACGTTCGTGAATTGCAAGAATATGTACATAGGCACGCCAAACATAAGGGAAAAAGAAGGTACAACCAGGCAAATTGCATAGGGCATTTTTATTACCTCTACATAGACCAAAAGCGCTCTAAACTGAGCCGCATTATCCGTCATGAACCCATTACCGGTCATGTCGTCGTCGATGGGTCCTTCTCCACCAAGAGAAACGAAGATCGGGGCACTTGCATTTGCGCCACCCCAGTATTTAGAATTGATCACGTATCTTTGTTTGAAAGCAGTGTAACTTTCTGGCCTGTAATTAAAATGATCGAGGGTTTGGTTGTAAAAGAAAGTCTGGAAGTCCTCTGATGGGACGGAAGCTCGAACTGCCCATGTAGGATCTTGAATAAATGTTCGGCGGATTACGCCCAGCTTCGGAATATAGAGACCATTTAAGCTCTTCCCGGTAGTAACACAAGCAGAGAAAAGCATCAGAATGATCAAAAGGCTATAAAGTGATGAAGACATGTTAGGGTGTGTGGTTATTGCTTAGGCCAAAGCATACACTTGAAAAGGAGGATGCTTGAGATTTTTTTTGGCTTCAACTAGTTCACATTTGTATAGAGTAACCCCGATCCCAATTTGTACTACTATTTTCTATGCGGAATTACATTAAAACTATTAAATTATGTCTCTCGTTTGAGCCTGTGAACAAGACCTAATTCGATTGGAGGATGTATATCAATTCGCTAAACCAAGTATATTAGAAAAGAAAAGGAATCCCAATGGATCACTACCTTATTCGGATTAAAATTTCTTTTCTTGAAGGCCGCACTAATCCATCGTAACGATTTCTTTCTTATTGGAGAAAATTATCCTAGGTTGCCGCACCAAAGAGTTTACTTCTTGGCTGGACGGTGTATGTCTTTCCTTATCTGTGAGCCCCGTCAACAAGAGTCAAATTTGGAACAAAGAAAAACAAGGATAACTTTTTGGTAAGATAGAGAGGGCTTAGTCTTTGGTTCTCATCTATTATTGAAATCATCCACATTCTTTGTAATTGCAATTCAACGTATCATTGTTTCAAAGCAAGAACATTGGCATATATTTAGCTGTCCACACTTCGGTATTTGGCTGCATGACCAACCAGTCTGGATCGGTTTGTGTCTTTGGTTATAAATCCAAACAACGGGAACTTGCAAAACATATAATTAGTGATGAGAATATATTTTGAGTTTGAATCCACAAAGGAAACCCGCTCTAAGTAGAAAATTTAAATCCGAATAGGGCTTGTGGTTTGACGCCCAAACAAGCAAGAAATTACAAAAATACCTTCTACTTTGGAGTTAGATTTATAATTTGAGTAGGTTTCCTTCCCTTGAGTCTATATGCAAGACCTGATTCAATTGGAGGATGTAGATCGGTTTGTTAACCTGATTCGATCCCCAGCTATGTCTTGACTGCGGGGGATTGAATTCAACCCTACTCGGTCAAAATGGCAATGACATAATTAAGTTGTTAAAATAAATCTGGTCAGATTGAGTAAATTATCCGCCTTGAAAATTTAAATAAGCACATCCAGGGATTGATGAAAGAGATTAATCTATACATTTTTCCTATTATTTAATAATGCATCTGGGCGAAACAAAGAATTATTTCCCTTCCTTCTTGATAATTACTGATTAGAATTTAATGGTCTTTGAACAAGGTTTCCTGGAGAAGTTTTCTATATGGGAAATTGTATATGGCCGCAATAAAAAAATTTCAAAAATAAAATCTGAGAAAATAAAAGTGCTCATATGCGAAAATCTCTATTTTGGGGGGTGGGGTTTAAATGCAAATATAATAATTAATTAAGGGGTCAAATTTTTTTCTTCAGAGATCAGCCCTTATGGGGGTGGTGCACATGGGTCTAAGTAGGGTCTCGTGCCCTAACATGGAGTCACGAATAGGTGTCAGCTTGCATTGGATTAGCGATGACATTATGGCTAAGCAATTTAAATTATCCTAGGCCACGCCAAGACCACATGGAATTAAACTGAGATTAGTGACATTGTTCGTTGAATAATAATAGCGATTGTCTAGAAAACTCGATTGCGTAGTATTTAAATCCGATTGTTGACTGACCCGCTATTCTTTTGTGGCGTCATTGTATTATTAATTTATGACATATTATTGTGGGAACTGTCTATGTATGGACGCTTGAAATCTTACTTGTCAAAGTACACATGCAAAATATAGCACGTGTTTCTAAGGTTATGTGTTTTCATTGGACCAATGGGCCATATTTTCATGCTATTTCTTCTTTCGTCAAGGACTTTAGGTGTTGGACCGTGGGGAGAGAATTGAACTTCTGATTGACAAAACAAAGAACTTGCAGTATGGACGCTTGAAATAAACTGCCTGTTACTTGTCAAAGTACACATGCAAAATATAGCACGTGTTTCTAAGGTTATGTGTTTTCATTGGACCATTGGGTGGGTCATATTTTCATGCTATTTCTTCTTTCGTCACGGACTTTAGGTGTTGGACCGTGGGGAGAGAATTAAACTTCTAGTTGACAAAACAGAGAACCTGCAGTTCCAGGTAAACTTGCTTTTCTTGGACTTACTGATGGGATGATTGAGAGGTATCAAGTAGTTTCCACGTCACTGAACAAAAATGCGCATTGTTCAGGCCAACATTTTCCAAAGGCAAGCAAGGCAACAGCGTAGGAAGATTTGGTTTTAGAATCTCCAAATGAAGGTTATGGTGGGCGGAGCAGTCGTCATAGTAATATTCTTGCTGTGGCTCATAGCAAAATGGGGAAGTAAATAAACCTTTGGCGTTCTCAGGATGTAAAAAGAAAAGGCACGATATGATTTTGTATCTGGATATGTTTGTTGGTAAGTGGAGCTAGCCTATCACTTAGGATTTATGAATCTCATACCCAAATTTATCGACCATTTTTAAGCTTTTGCAGCTTAAGAGTGAGGATTTCGCTCCTTAAATAGAGATCATCTCATGGTTCTAATTAATGACAATTGTGCTCCAATACAAACTAGACACGCATTTACTTTCCTGTCCGTCCTGAATTGGGCAACGTTTTGCCAAGTAGGACAAGATCAAGCGTATTTAGGGGGCAAACAATGGTTTATCTCACCATTGACATATTATTGTGTTTGCCTTTCTTCGTTACTTGAATTGAATGGGTGAAGTTAGGAATAAAATGGAATATAAAGTTGTGAAATTTTTTGTATATATTTCAATATGTATATTAATGAAAAATACATTAGCCTATTTATATATTTTATTAGATTACGATTCTAAAATAATATCTCAATCAAAGGGAGATATATGTGCAACATGCGTGGAACATATGGGCAACATCCGTACAACATGCGTGCCATATTTTCATACTATTTCTTCTTTCGTCACGGACTTTAGGTGTTGGATCGTGGGGAGAGAATTGAACTTCTGGTTGACAAAACAGAGAACCTGTAGTTCCAGGTAAACTAGCTTTTCTTGGAGTTACTGATGGGCTGATTGAGAGGTATCAAGTAGTTTCCACGTCACTGAACAAAAATGCGCATTGTTTCAGGCCAACATTTTCCAAAGGAAAGGAAGGCAACTGCGTAGGAAGATGTGGTTTCAGAATCTCCAAATGAAGGTTATCGTGGGCGGAGCAGTCGTCGTAGTAATGTTCTTGCTGTGGCTCATAGCAAAATGGGGAAGTAAATAAACCTTTGGCATTCTCAGGATGTAAAAAGGCACGATATGATTTTGTATCTGGATATGTTTGTTGGTATGTGGAGCTAGCCTACCACTTAGGATTTATGAATCTCATACCCAAATTTATCGACCATTTTTAAGCTTTGGCAGCTTAAGAGTGAGGATTTCGCTCCTTAAATAGGGATTCATCTCATGGTTCTAATTAATGACAATTGTGCTCCAATACAAACTAGACACGCATTTACTTTCCTGTCCGTCCTTAATTGGGCATCGTTTTGCTAAGTAGGACAAGATCAAGCGTATTTAGGGGGCAAACAATGGTTGATCTCACCATTGACATATTATTGTGTTTGCCTTTATTCGTTACTTGAATTGAATGGGTGAAGTTAGGAATAAAATGGAAAATAAAGTTGTGCAATTTTTTGTATATATTTCAATATGTATATTAATGAAAAATACATTAGGTTATTTATATATTTTATTAGATTACTATTCTAAAATAATATCTCAAGCAAAGAGAGATATATGTGCAATATGCGTGCAACATACGGGCAACATCCGTACAACATGCATGCAATATTGAGAGATACGGATATTCAACATAATTATCAAAATATTACCAACAAAAGAAATTATCCTAGAGAAAACCCTTAACATCAGAGGAAATATTCTAATATCTGTAAGAAATATTTAAAATATCTCTAATTTCCCCCTCAAACTCAAGGTGACTGCTTTCTTTGTGCGTAATGAGAGTTTCATGTGGGGAGGCAGCACCCGAGGAGGGAAAGGACAACCACAAAGTGTAGGCAAAAAACAATTGAGTTGCAATGTCAGTGTTGGTGCAACATAATTGAATCAATAAAAGATTGCTAGAGTTATAGGATACCTATTCCACCAATTTAGCATTAATGCGCAGCCAATGACGATGATCTAGTGCCTCGCCATGATTATCGCGAAGGACTGGACGCAATGGAGATTCAGAAGGTGATCAGCGATCGCTACAGGAACAGATTTTTTGTATTATCAGATAGTCCTCTTTCCATGCCTCTGTGCTTGTTTATCGTCTTGCGATTTGAACCCAAGTAGTTCTCGTACATGCGGGTAGTCAAGTAAACTTGAAAATCATGCCAATGAAGGCGCGATATGGAAGGCACGACCACGATACCAGCTTTGCAGGCACATCGAAAAGATCGTTAACTTTTTTTTTGACCCAGGAGATAATGAGACGAATTCGGGATATGAGCTTCATATGGAAGCAAATTACTGGTTATGACCCAAAATTCCTTGACCATAGAACTAGGCCGAGCATTTGGAGCTGATTCTACTTGGAACTAGTCAGGTTTCGACCCCGTCAATCTGGTCTGATTCGAGTAAACTGGTTTTGAGAATTGGGAACTTTGGAACGGCCTTAGAGAAGGTCGGTTTCATTATCCAACTTTGGAATCGCTGGATTCACTTGAAACCGATTCCAAGGGTGATTCCGAGCAATTTTGTCGAACCAAACTTTTATAAAGACAGAACGAAACATGAACTCCTCTTTCTTGTGAAATCTTGAACATGCCAGTTTAATACTTGATTCCGACTTTTCGAAATCAAGCTCTACCCGGTTAATTTGAAGTTCCAGTCCCGGGTTACTTACAGTATTTTTTTTTTGCAATTTTCTGCAAAAAATTCAAGAAATTTTCAATTTCATCCTATGATAAGTGCCTGGTTTCTGTGACTATCACTTGTTCATGGGTTGCTGGAACGGCTGTGGCTGTAATCATCTTTCCCCTGGCTTGTACATTATTCTCTAAGACTACTACATGAGAAGGTAAACTTCATGAAAATCTTATGCCCGAAGATCATTTGAAAGGCAACTTGGCACTTGGCAGTAAACTGCATGTCATTATTCCAAACATTAGGCCATTGCAATTGCAGGAGAAATTGGCCTTACAACGAGTTTGTTCTCAGGAGGAGCATCTGCAAGTATATGCTGCTGCTGATGCATATTCCCCAACTCTGGAACTAATTTATCCTCACCAAAATGGCGCTAAAGTAGCTACTAGGAAGATTTTATCAGTAATGAGCTCCCGACGAGAGCGCCGAGAAACAAAGATCGTTCAAGCCTTGACGGTTCCGGCGAGCATAAAAACCTTGCAATTGACAGTCCTGACCAAATCAGATCCGCCCCAAGCAGTCTCAAACTCTTTCACAACATCATCAGTCAACAGATCCACGCCATTCTGCTTGGCCGTCGCTATTGCTGACGAGGTCCTCTGCCAACTCAAAAATGTCTCAAAGCTCATTTCCCTCGGCATATCTAGCTGAAGGGGTTGTCCTTCACAACCAAAACCCACGCTCTCAAACGGAAACGGAAGGGTCTGATACTCTTCGAACACGTACTGCACTCCCGGCTTCCAATACAGCTTACAGGCTTCGCGCAGACGTCTTGACACCTGTTCCACTTCGGGATTGACTCCGATTAGGTCGGTGTAAGTCCAAACAGCGATCACGGCCCCAGGCTTGCGGAGGACCCGTTTGGCAATGGAGTAGAACTTTGGGACATCGAACCACTGGATGGCAGTAGCCACCGTAATTAAATCGACCGAGTCCTCGCCCCCGACCATTGCCACCGTTTCGTCTTAGGACAAGGATGGCGGCGTGTGTAGGTACTAAACTCGAGGGTGCGGAATCCCTTGCTTCAGCACGGGCTCACTTATGTCAGTTGCAACCACTCGCTCATAATGCTCTGCGACCTGCAAAAGATAGAAACTTCCGTTAACTCTTTACAACAGTTCGTGTATTTAGAGACAAAAAATTGTAATCGTGGATGCAAAAGATTGAACAAAGAGCTGTCCAAAGCTAGGGGGAGACACAAAGCAAGAGACATTGGTCTGTAGACTCCATGCATACAACCAGACATTGAAAACAGGCAGCAAGGTCCGAACAAATTGAGAGGCGTGCCTCATTGCTAAGTCGATTTGGTCATTTCAGGAGTTCAAGATCATTGGCCAAACAGTTTTCCAATGCTAACCAGTCAGAAAATGCATCTTCCTTAATAATGATCTTTCGTACTACAAATCGTGACGGCCTTCACTCGGTAAGCGCGACGAAAGAGCGGCTTAGAGCACAGATATTTCATCTAAGTTGACAACAGAGAACATGGCCTATTGCCTGTATGAACTACTAACTAACCTCAATGTCAAAAAACCTAAGTGAACCACCCGATTTACCCAAAATATCGTATTTTCTTCACAGGTTCTCATGGCATCTTGCACTAATGAACCTACCGAGTAATCTGAATGTCGAATCCTGAATGAACCACCCAGTTCATGTAGAATTCCTTATTTGGGCAACCTCTTACTTCTATGGAATCATGAAAATCTCTCCTCTTTTTTTATATCTTCCAGGAAGACACACTCAGAGAGCTAGTGAACTCAGCTGTCAGCATCAGGCAGATAATGAGCACACTGCATCCGCATTTGTTGACCCCAGCAACAATTGCATTTGTACCCAATCTGCCAATGTTACTACTAGTACTAAACGAAGTTCGATTTGCAGCTCTTCATCTCCTTCGATATCGTACAAGTCGTCGATGTCCAAAGCAACGACTTTCGAAGCGCTCATCTTCGTAGAGCTCGACCAAACATTGAACGGGACTCGAGCATAGCTCAGCATGACCCCGCACGCGTCCTCCTCCTTCTTCAGATCAGCCGGAGGCAAGAAACAGTCCATCGACAACCCCTTGATGTTGTTGAAGTCCACCTCCTCGATGGCCCAAACCTCTTCCATCCGTGTCCTGGAATGGCTCACCGAGTTCTCGCTCTTTGCAGACCCAACTTAATTCTCTCTCTCTCTCTCTCTCTCTCTCTCTCTCTCTCTCTCTCTCTCTCTCTCTAATTAATTAATTAAAATTAATTAAGAAATGGATTATTGAATGATATATGAGCTTAATTTAATTCCAAGCCCAGATAAATCCAAGTTCATGTGAAACTGAAAATCTTAAACAGGTTCATGTTCTACCAATCTATTCTCTTTTATTTTTTCCGTACCAATCTATTCTGCTAGTTCACAAATTCTAATAAGGGTTGATACCACCAAATACCCTAAATTGGTACTCATGTGACAATTTACCCCAAGAGTAATTTTTTGAGAATCAAAAACTCCAAACTGGTACGCCCGTGACAAATTTACCGCCGTTAAATTGGATTAATACAACGAAAAATCACAAATTGGTAAATTTGTGACAAACGGAAAAGTATAACCCTAAACTGATATACCTATCGACTGTTACGTTTAACATCTATTCGATAAATGGAGATCATTTACTTTTTCCTACTATTAGATCACACTAAATGGAAGGTATCTCTTTTCATATCTTTCCTTATTTTAATGTCATGTAAGTCTTTCCTTAATTTCTAAAAATCAAAATTATTGTTTCCGTTTTGGTGTGGGTAAGTCAAATTAGGGTATTCACATGGGGGATTCTAAAGTGTCGATGGTAGAAATTTCCAAAAATCAGATTGAACAAAGACCTTCTTCATTGATGAGAGGTTTTTCTTACAAGAAAAAAGGGATAGCTTTACTAGAAATTCTAATACTTGTCATGAAAATACACTTGAGTCATAAAACTTGAAAAAAGTGTAATTAAGTCTTAAAACTTGTCAAATTGATTCGATCGAGTCCTAAATTGTAATTTTTATGAGTTTTAGGACTCAATTGCACTTTCGTGATAAGTTTTGGGACTTCTAGTGAACATATCCAAAAAAAGAAAAGAAAAGATGAGAGGTTTGATTCATGACTATTTTCACACTCCAATTAGCTTTTTTGCCCTATTGTTGTAAGTAATTTGACCAAAATAATATGTATTCAACATTTATGTATAGCCAAACATAAGTTTTAATAAAACATATACATCTAGCGAAAAAATTTATCAAACGCACCTTTCTAATTTCCTCACTCAACCTAAGTTTAAAACCAATTAATTTGTTTTTTTTTTTGGTGTATGATTATCTCGTGCTAAATGGTACTTCTATTTACTTTTGTGGTTTTCATTGTTTATTGGGTTAATACCATGAAAAATTATCACGGGTGTACCGATTTGGGATTTTTTGTGGTCAAAAAATTAGTTTGAGATAAATTTGTTACATATGTACCGGTTTTAAGTTTTTCGTGATATTAACCCTTGTTTATTTAGGCCGACAGCCATTCATTGTGTTATTCAATAGGGAAAATACCACCAAAAACCCCAAACTATGCCACTTGTGATAAATTTACCCTGAACTTTTTTTGTGACACAAAAAATCCTAAACTACCCTCACCCGATGCCGGCGAAGGCAGCCCTCGCCGGCTTCCCTCCACCATGGCTGACGGAGGGAAGAGAGAAAAAAAGAAAAAAAAAAGAAAAAGGAAAAAGACGAAAATGCCCATGGGCCAAAGTATTGTTGACACCTATTTTTAATTTGCCCAAAATTAATTGCACAAAATTTAGGAGTTAATTTTCTTTAATTCCTAAAATAAAAATATTTCAATTTAAATGCATTGCATATAGAAATTAGGCACATTTTGCATTAATAGGGTCTATTAGAGAAGATTAATTAAAAAAAAAAATTTCGAATCGGGCCGGGCCGACTCGGCCCTTTTCTTTTTCTTTTTTTCTTTCCCCCCCGCACGGGCCCCGGCCCTTTTCCTTTTCGTTTTTTCCCCCACGCGGGCCCGGCCCGCCTTCTTCTTCTTTTCTCCTTCTCCCCACGCCGGGCTGGGCCAGGCCCAGCCCGGCCCGGCCCTCCTCCTTCCTTCTTCCCCCCGTCGCTCTCGCCGCCCCTGTTCGCCTCTATGCTCGACGGCAGCGTGACGCACGGCGGCGCTGCTCCTCGGCGTCGCTATCTGGCCAGAGCAGAGCCGGGTGAGCACGCCGACGGGACTGGCATTAATTGCCAGTCCCATCCTCCCCGTTGTCCCGGCCTTCCTTATCCCCTCCGCCCTCTCTTCCCCCCTGTTCCTCTCTGCGCCTCACAGAGCTGCTCCCCCCTGCTCTGCACCGGCCTAGATGGCCGCGAAAGTCACGGGCCAGACTAGGCTGGTGCAGACCGTCGTCATTGCAGACGTAACGGAGCAGGGGGGCACCGTCGTCACCAGCTATAAATAGCCAGAGAGAGAGAGAGAGGGCCGGTCGGCCGTTTTACGAAAGAAACAGAGCATAGAGAAGCCGGGAGAGAAAGAAAGAGATTGAGCGAGACAGAGAGACTGAGAGCTCTTCCGGCGACCGCCGTGCTCGTACCGCGACTATAAAAGACCAGAGAAAGAGCCGGAGAGGAGTCGGTCGGCCATTTTTGGAGAGAAACGGAGAGAGAGAACAGAGAAAGAATAGAGAGAGAGAGAGAACAGAGAGAGAGAGAGAGAGCAAACCGAGTGTTCGTCGGAGCAAGAAGGAGAAACAGCAGCGTCGCCGTCGCCCACGGAGCAGCCGGAAGGCCACCCAGACGCGCCGTCGACCGGTGAGCCCCCCCGGCCGAGAAGCTCCTCTGTTTTCCCCTGTTTTTTTGGCATGGTCGGGCCGGGACTCGCGCCGGCCGTTTCGCACTAATCCCGGCCCATACCGCCGTCGGTCCCGACTCCTAATCGCCGTCGAAGGTGAACCCAAGCCGCTGGAGTCGACCGGATCGCCGGAGGAGGTCGGAATCCCCCGTTTTTCCACGCGCCCGCCAGGCGTTCGACGAAATGCCTCAACCAGGCTGGTTTTTGTTCCATCGCCGGGCGGCGAACGGTGGTCCGACAGCGGTTCAGGTGAGTGGCACAGCCCAGAGTCGGTCCTAGTCGGACGATTTGGGGGCGGCGCTGGCCTGGGTCAGCCGACGGTCGGCCAATTCTGGCTTCGCCGGCGCCCCTCTCCCCGCGGGTCTGTGAGTTCGGGTCGGATTCGGCCCGAATCAGTAGATTCGACCCGGGTCAACGTCCGAGTCGGATCCGTTGACTCGGGTCGGTTCCGACCGACCCGGATCAGCAGATCCGACCCGAGTCAACGCCCGGGTCGGATCCATTGACCCGGGTCGGTTCCGACCGACCCGGATCAGCAGATCCGACCCGGGTCAACGCCCGGGTCGAATCCGTTGACCCGAGTCGGACCTGACCGACCCGACCCGGTTATTATTATATTATATTTATATTATTTTATTTTATATATTTTTTTAAAAAAAATTAAAAATTAAAAAAATTAAAAAAAATTAATTTTTTTTCTTCTTTTTCTTCCGTATTTATTTTTTTTTAAAGAAATTTTCAAAAAAAAAATTTATTTTTATTTTTTTGTGTGATATATTCTAAATGTTTAATTTATTGTAGTATTATTATGCATATTTTTGTCTTGTTTAAATTAGACAAGCCTGAGATTGCGCGGTAATATTTTGCATGTTATTTTTATTATCGCTGTATTATTATGCATGTTTTTAATACAATCGCATGATTTGTGTTTTGAATGTCATCTGACTTAGTTAAGGTTAGAACCTTAGGCTGTATGAATTGTTGTGTTCCTGACTGCTGATCGTTTTTTATTATGCACTCGCTTGATCACCTCACATGTTAGGAGAAATGTCCTAAAACCAATCCAAATTGCCTGACAAATGTTTTCATGAAATGAACAGGATAAAAAGGTACCGAAAGGGCATTAGTTAACTAACTAGTGTAACCAAGTCCCCGAATTCAGTGAATTTCTGGTTCGTAGGAATAGGGTGATTCTCCCATCACCTTATTTGGGTTTCTAATCGACCCACCCCAAATTGATTAGTGGCGACTCCTCGATATAAACCACTTGCATGTTAAAAACTTAAACCCTAAGTTGCGATATGATATGAGCTTGGGAGAGCCCGAGTTAAGTCCCGAACCTAGACTTAGCACGTACCAGGCGAGCCCCCCTTCTTTTTGCATGTTCGATAAAAAAGGGAGCTCGGGAGTTCGGTCGCGACAAGTATTATGGGATAAATGTGTCATAGGTGGCATAGTTTGAGATTTTTCGTATTACAAAAAAAAGTTCAGGCTAAATTTATCACAAGTGGCATAGTTTGGAATTTTTCATATCACGAAAAAAGGTTTATGGTAAATTTATCACAAGTGATATAATTTGGGGTTTTTTGTGATATTTTCCCTATTCAATAAAAGGCAGCTATGTTTTATGTTTCAATGAATACTTGTGTGGTGGAGGACATGTTCAGTTTACATAAAAAGGTGTGGCTTAAGCTACATATAATAAGAATTAATAATAATATTGGATATCAATTTCACTAGCTGTGTGCTTGTACAAATTAGATTTCGCTTGAGCGAAAATATGAAATTTCAGAGAATCATGAGATATATACCAAATCCATTTGCAATTTTTTTAGCAAAGACATATTCCTCAATACGAGGGTCTTGAGATGGCGCAAAGTTCATTTCTCCTAATCGATGTTTCGCAGCTTTTCGAATAGTAACTATGTTCGCGATATGCATAATTTCTTCATTGAAAATTGAATATTTTCTTGAAAAAGATAGCATTTTTTACTATGACGTGAGGT